TTCGCCACAGCTTCGCCACAGCTTCGCCACAGCTTCGCCTATGGCCACACCACCCTGAACTCCAAAGGCTGCGTGGCTGCTGCCTGTGAAAAAAAGGCAGCCCAGTGGAGTGGAGTGAAGTGAAGGGGAGGGGAGGCGGGGCCAGGCTGACGCTGACAAGTACAAGAGGGCCAAGGGAGGGCCGAGGGAGAGCCGAGGGAGAGCCAAAGCTTCACCTACGGCCACTCCACCCTGAACGTGCCTGCTCTCGCCTGGTTTCGGAAGCTAAGCAGGGTCAGGCCTGGTTAGTACTTGGATGGGAGACCGCCTGGGAATACCAGGTGCTGTAAGCTTTTTGCTTTTCCTCCAGTTGGGGTCGCTCTCCTCTATGGCTCTTCACACACACTTGGTTTTTTGTTTGCTTTTTTCCACCAGCGCTCCGCAGGCCCCGTTGCCCACCTGGCCGCTTTGAAAGATCACCCCCCTCCGACGCCCTCCCCTTTTCTTTTCCCGCAATCCCATCTGCACCCCACTTTTGAAAAGTCCTTTTCTCTCTTTCTCTTTCCCCCCCAGGAGCTTGCCACCCTGTACACTGTGTGTCTTGGTAGAGGCAAGATTTTTTCCCTCATGCTATAGCCTTCAGCAAGGAGAACAGTCAACAGCACAATAGTAGCATCACCATCTCACTTCAAATCTCTTAAAACTAGCACTCAACGGCAGCAGTGCCTTAGATCTCATACTGCAGACATTCAGCTCTGAGTCTCTCGGCACAGGAGTGCCTAGGGACCTTCACATACCAGGAAGCACATTGGTATTGTGGAGGAATTCAAGACAAAAGGTAAAAATTTTAAGGTTCAACTGCTAAGACACAATTCAAATTTCGAAATATTCCCTATAACGCAGCAAAGCTTTCATTTTTGAGTTCAAGTCCACTTTCACTGAGTATTTCCCAGGCTTAGGAGTCTGCTGCAGAACTTTCAATAAGAACGTTGTTTAGCAGCTTGTGCCTGGCACAACCACATTACAGTAGATATTGATGTCTTATTGATAACAGCAAGCAATATATCATAATTAGAAGTGGTACAGAGGTGTAGGAGGGGGCCAGACAGGCCTGGATTTCCCACAAGGCCAACCAAGCCCCTGGCCTCAGGGCAGCAGAGAGTAGAGGGGCAGCAGGGGTGTGGAATTCCTGCAGTTCTGGGTGCTGGGCAGGTAGTTGTTTTCTACATTTAGCCCTGCTTTAGGGCAAGCAGAGCTAAATGTACAGCGCCGAAGTCACCGAGATCACTTGTATGCAGCTTGCAGCAGGTCTGCTATTCTCCATGGGAGGTGGGGTAGCTAGGGGGGCGCATTGAGGAACCTGGCCTTGGAGCAGCAGAGAGAGTAAATCTGGCCCTGGGTCCAGACCATGTCTTTCCGCCGAATGTTATCCAGACATCCTACGAAGAAAAATAGGGGAAAAAAAGAAACAAATGTATAAAATTTACAAATAAATAAAAATTCCCATTAATCCCCCAGGTCCCAAGAAATACATAGGAAGCGTTGGATAGTATTTCCCTTTATTACATGAGCATCAAACATTTCTGTAAGCAAGTACAATGTCATTAGGGATTTCTGGAACCAGTGGAAATGTTGCCTCGTGGTAATTTCTGTCTGTGGTAGCCTGACTTGTTGTTAGGAGAAAAAAATTCAAGACGGTGGATTTTTTCACCAAGTTTTCCCTAAACACCCAGACCAGCTACTTGATTAAAGTCCTAGCTATGAAGATGTATGACATGGTAAGGTAGACTAAACGTTATAATGTGCAGAATCAAGACTTCTCCAAAAAACAAATTCTCTGAGACATAAGGGGAGAAAGATGGAAAATGTCTCAGGGACTAAAGTGGTCAACTTCCCCCTCCTTGGAGCATCTATTTGCATTTAGGAAAACATTTGTTACTGTAGGTATTTTTTGGCAATGGCTTTGGTTTGGTCACATGACAAGTCCGATATTCTTTGTCTCTTTTCTGCGATGAGAGGTGGTCCTCAGTGATACAGATAACGGCACTCATGTAATGGCATGAGCGCTGTACAATATTTTTTAGTAAATATGAACTTTTTGCCTATGAATGTTATGCAGTCTTTTATTAAGCCAACAGGTGGAGCAACAGTCTCCTTTTCACATGATTTCTAGTAATTCTTTGCCACAGCCTTGGAAAAATCTAACAGTAAACAAGAGGAAACCTCTATAAATTGACAGGTGTCCCCCCTGGGAGATTTCTCCTCACCAACTGTTGTTGACACCTGAAAAGCTTTGTAATTCTTATCAATTTCTGTCACATTAATAATGGTCATCCAGTGAAACAGGTGTGAATGTCCCCAGAGGCAATTCAACTGCTTAGGAGCTCTAGGCATTCTCACACACTGGACAAACCAGTAACCGATTTCAAGCATTTACGGTTCTGATACATGTTTTCCTATAGTAAGCCCTGATGAAGGGGGTATTTGTATGAGCCCCAGAAATGCCTTGGATACTTCTATCCTGTTCCCTTAACCCTATATCAAATACATATGTATTTGGACTATTAAACAGAGTGTGGCACTTCCATTCACAATCCTGCAATTTGATACTACAAACCAAGGAGACAGTGGAGAGCCTCCGGAATGTAGAAGCAGCCTGTCTGATAGTCAGATCACCTATCCCAACTCTTTCACATCATGATTGGCCAAGGAGACAGTGGAGAGCCTCTGGAATGTAAAAGCTGCCTCTCTGACACTCAGATCACCTATCCGAACTTTTTCACATCATGATTGGCCAAGGAGACAGTGGAGAGCCTCTGGAATGTAGAAGTTGCCTGTCTGATATTCAGATAACCTATAACCCCGACTCTTTCACATCATGATTGGCCAGCTACACCGACAGGACAAACCTTGCGGATCCAGCATTTTTATTGCACTTCTTTCTAGTAAAACCTGACAGAAATTATAAAACTTACTCCATCTCAAACCAAAAAGAGTCTGTCGATAACATTTTAAACAAAATTGACCCAAGCCTGTATAGTTTCCATTTACAGGCAGTCCCCGAGTTACAAACATCCGACTTACATACGACACGTACTTACAAACAGAGGCTATTACTGTACAGCAGGGGTCCCAGGCTGCAGCCAAAGTGTACCGCACAGCATTTCAGTAGTTGTAATGCTTCCGTGCTCATGCCGACGAGGAGTGCCCGCCTTTTTGGGTCTGGTTTGTAGTACTGTACATACACTACAGCAAGTTGGCTCTTGTTAGACGTGCAGACGAGGGGTGCCCGCCTCTTCTTCCGGGTCACTGTGAGGTTTTTACTGCTGTCTGTATCCTCATTAGAAAGATTTAATCTCACTTCCTGTCCTTGAGACACCAGGAAGTGAGAGGAAATCTACCCCTAGGAAGGGAAATTCACTCCTGTAATAGTTATCATGGGAAAAAGGTGTCTCCACCAAAGCTTTATCACCAATCCTTGTTTCCGCGGCAACCCAACATTTTCAAAATCCAATTGTCACAGGGACAGAAAGTGAGGTGAAATCTTTTGAACACACACAGCACACACAGCAAAACAAATGTTACAGGGGGTTAACCCTTCCCTATGCTATCCAAAACGGAAAAAACTTTTTTTTGCCTTGAGTTACACTTAAAAAATGTACCTGCTCCAACCTACATACACATTCAACTTAAGAACAAACCTACAGTCCCTATCTTGTTTGTAACCCGGGGACTGCCTGTATTGTGCATCATTGAAATACAGATGCTCACTGACAAATAAAACTGGAGCAAAGTGCTTAGGGCATCCTGTCTATTGTTGTCAATAATATGGAGAATAATGGTTTGTTTAATGGTTATAAAATAAGAGTTCTTCTGCCAGATGTTAATAAAACAGAACTGAACCCTCTATTAAACCTTTAAGCTCTATTCTGTTTTCTGTTTCCTGCTGTAAAATGCTACATGCAGGTCTATGTCTCCACCTTTACTTATCTCTATATAAAAGGCACATTACCTGCCCAACAGGTTAATTACTTCATAAGTTTAGGCGGCAGCACTTCTACACTTTTTACCTGATAATGTTCCATTTTCTCAGCTTGATGTATGGCTCTGTCACCTCCTGTTTCATATTTGGTTTAGTCATGCTGATTTGCTTGATGCACTTGATAAATGCATTTAAGATGAAAAATTATAATCTTCCTCCTGGTCCAACTTCGTTACCTGTCATTGGAAACCTGCACTTGTTGAATCTCAGGAGACAGGACCTCTCCCTTTTAAAGGTAGGCTGATGTTTTTATTTTTTGTATTGAGTTGTCGGCGTTATCAATGGAAATATATTGGGGGGTGGGGAATTTATCAAAACTGGAGCAGAGAAAATCTGGAGCAGCTGTGCATAGTAACCAATCAACTTCTATCTTCAGCTTGTTCAGCTAAGATTTTAAAATGAAACATAGAAGCTGATTGGTTGTACTGCACAGCTGCTCTAGATTCTGTCTGCTCCAGTCGCAGTAAATTACCCCCAATGTGTTTTTTTTGTTTTTGTTGTTCAATACATTTTGCACTAAAAACTTTATAATATGATCAACTGTTAAAGAAGAACTTCAGGAATTTTAAAAACTTACCCTTTAAGTGGGGCTATACCCAGTTAAGTGCTCATTTTGTCTATAGCAGTCAAATAAAGCAGATATATTCATCTGATCCTCATTTCTCACGGACTGCTAGACTGGTCCCTGCAGCCTCTTCTTCCCAGTCTTCAGTGGTCTAAGGACTGCTGACGTCATGATGTGTTATGCATGTCCGTTGACTTGCATTAGATGTAACGATGCAGAGGCACATTCCACAAGCCAGAACAGAGGGGCAGAGATGTGGGCGTTGACTGAGGATCAAGTAAATAAAGCTGCTTTATTTGACTCCCCTAGACAAAATAAGAGCAAAATGGAGAACTATTGGAAGAGTAAAATATACTTTTCCCAATAGATTGAGCCAGTATGTCACACTGCTACTGTCACAGGTCAGCTCTATAGCTTGAGAACTGAGCGATCACCGACTGCTGATTGCTCAGTTTAAGGCTTCTCCCTGCAGAGACCAGTGACTGTAAGTCATTGCTCCCTGAAGGGATTTCTCTTCCACCTCTCTTTTCCTCCAGTCCAGACAGGGGAGGAGGCGGTCACAGCTGGCTCTGACTCTAGAGAGGCAGAGGCAGCTGTCAATCAATCAGGCAGTGGGGTGGATCCCAACAATACTTTTGGGATCTTTTCTAGATGCAGCGCGCTCTGCGCTGTTGTCATATATGGCAGACATTAGCTTGCTATTTGTTAAGTTTGGGTCACAGGAGGACATTAGTAAATGTCCTCCTGTGACCCAAAAGAGAATTATAGTATAACTATAAAAAAAGTTTGTGTATAATTCTCATTTAATCCTTGCAGTCCTGGAAGAGCCCCACTGCAAGCGTACGTTTTTTAAATTCTTAGAGTTCTGCCTTAACCTCCCTGGAGGTCTGATTATGTCAGTATTTCGTCTCCTTATTTTTTTCTTCTATTTTTTACTTTTAAATTTTTCGTCGGTTCCGCCCCCTGCAACGCGGGTGCCGGCAAGGGAAGGAACCCGGAAGACGGATGCCGGCATCGGCCGGAGGACACAGCGGGGCTCGTAGGGACAAGGTAAGTGATGCACAGTGTAATCCCAAGTGTGGCTCGGGGTTACCGCTTTTGGTACTGAAAATTAACCCCGAGCCACACTCGGGATTACCGCCAGGAAGGTTAAATTAGCAAAATAGGAATGTATAGACAATAGAGGGAATTTGCTAAAACTGGAGCAGAAAGAATCTGGAGCAGCTGTTCAGAGTAGCTAATCAGCTTCTCTCTTCAGCTCTTCAGCCAAAAAGGCTTAATCATAGAGACGCTTTAGGATCTTTATGTGTAATTAAGCCTTTTTTGGCGAAACATGTCAGAGCCTGTGGATCTTGTCATGCTTGTAACCTTTTTACATCGAGGTCCTGGTTGTTGAGTGCGGTTTTACATACATTGGATGCCTCTGCTTTCAATTTTTACTTGTTTTAGCAATAACTAGCTCTGAAAGTAGAAGTCTAGGAAAAATAATGGCAAATAGTGTAATAGTGCGGACTCTCAGGAGGCTATGCAGGTTCTATGGTTGGCTGTATGGACGCTCCGGTGGGCTATGTGGGGTCTATGGTGGGCTGTGCAGGTTCTGTGGTGGTCTAGGTGGTCTACGTGACTCTCAGGTGGCTGTGTGGACTCTCAGGTGGGCTATACGGAGTCTGTGGTGGGCTATGCAGGGTCTATAGTGGGCTGTGCGGGGTCTCAAGTGGCAGTGGGGAGTCTCAGGTGGCTATGCAGGTTCTGTGTGGGCTGTCCGGGGTCTATGCCGGGCTGTGCAGGCTCTCAGGTGGACTATGCCAGGGTCTATGGTTGGCTGTGCATGCTCCCAATTGGCATTGCAGGCTCTATGGTGGGCTGTGTGGACTCTCAGGTGGCTGTGGGGGGTCTGTGCGGTCTCACCAGGGGTCCTGGTCAGTCTCAGTGGGTGTGGACAGCGTGGATCCACAGGAAAGGAGAGATTTGCTGCTGGCGCTGTAAACAGGCAATGTAATTCACAGGAAGGCTGCCAGAACCTTGCTGGAGACCTCGGCAGCCTACCTGTGAAGTCCGGTGCCTGTTTACAGCGTCAGCTTCGGTTTAAACATTTAAAGCTGCAGGAGAGGAACGAGGGCCACATGAAAATGGCCTGCGCCTTGTGTTTGACACATGTGCCATAGTGTTTTCATTGTCGATAATGACTGGAATGGAAGGAAGGATGAAGGTATGAGTGTCCAGCCCATATCTTCCATGTATAAAAAGTATTTTACAGTTTTAAAAATAGCCCACAGAAGAAAAATTCAATAGAGGAAAGGAGAAAAAAGAAAGAAAAAACAAGGGGGAGAGAGAGAAAAACTGGGGCAAAGGGCGGAGTAAAAAAGGGTAGAGGGAAGGTTATCTGTTCTTAAATGGAAGGAAGGCAGACTGTAGGCAGGTCCATATTACCAAGAGAAGATACCTATCAGCAGAGGTTGTAAGTGTTTCACCATGTAATGTATTAATTGGTTTGTTCTTTTGTGCAGTCAAAGTTGATGGAGGGTTAAAATTAAAGTCAAACTTCAGCTTTTGATAAAAAAAAAAAAAAAAAAGCTGCTTCTGCTGTAGTACTCTCCCTATCTCAAGTGCTAAACACCCACCAACCCCACAATTCAGTGCTAGTCCACTACCATGCTACCATGTTGAATGACATCCAGCATAATTCAACCTATGCGTTTTTCACCCCAGAGAGTAAAGGCCCTGTGCCTGGGGGTGCACCAGTAAGTTGCCCTGGGCTCCCAGGAGAATGCTACAGTAGGAATGCATCATTATGTGGTGCCTTTCTCTGCAATATTCCCCCAGACTTCGAACAAGAAAATGCATCAGACGCTCTAACCTTTGTGACTGAATCCTTGTTCAGGTCAGTGATTCAGCAAGTCATGAAGTCAGAGAATCAGCATGACAGCCAAGAAGTTAGCATTATCAAGAGGAAGCCAGACATGTGGTCCCATATTTCTCAAAGCACAGGTTTCCTTTGAACAAATCAGTGTGAACTGACGTAACCCACAGTGATCTCTTTTCAAGTGTTAAAGAAGACATTTATTAACTCACACAGGAGAAAACCTGGGAAATTTCTAAGTACTGTTTTTTGTTCTCCAGGTAGTGTGATTTTTTTGAGGTTTCAATAATTTGTAATGCAGCAGTCGGCTCTTAAAATAAAAATTGTGGCAGGACTATAACATCCACTATGGGGAAGTTACTACAATAAGTGAAGGATATATTTAGAAGAGATTACATAGACATGGATATATTGCCTTGTTTGCACTTTGCAAAGTTGCCTTTTGGTTTACCTTGCTATGGCCGAATTTAAGACTTGCCCTCAGTTCTCCTCTATATCCAGCAACCAGAATCAAACTGACTATGAACAGGGTCAGTCCATATACAATTAATGTTTTAATTGGATCGGTGGCAATAGGATGGACATTATCATAGTATAGTACAATTAGAATTTTTGATCGTTATGGTTACATGGTGAGCTCCTGTAGCTCATCTTATTTGTGTTTAATAAGTATACCATTTGTATGTTGTGTGAGTATGTTGAAAATTAACCCAAAGATCAAACATTTAGTTGCCATGTGTCTTTTTAAAGCTTTCAGAAAAATATGGCCCGATATTCACCATTCACTTGGGCATGAAAAAAGCTGTCGTCCTCACAGGACTGGAAACCATAAAAGAGTCCTTGGTGGAAGCTGGGGATACATTCTCCGACAGGGCCACCTTGCCAATATTTTATGCCATCCAGCATGGAAATGGTAACCAACTGAAACTCGCTTTCTTGCAATTCTTTCTTTCTAGCCAACACTTGTAAAATGTCTACTTTCTTGGCAGAAGAATCACTAATACCAAAGCTTAACAGTTAATCTGCTAAGATTTATTGCTGTTGCAAAATGTTTTAGAATGTAGATTGCAATGAAATATAAAAGGTAGAATGTATTTTTTTAATTCAACCTCTGGGATTACCTAAAGTCTTTCCTCATGCTAAATTGGCGCACACAAGTTGAAAGATCTCTACCAGGCAAGTCACCAAAAGTGGCACAGTAAAAAGACTATAAAATTATATTGCACCCTATCCAAAATGATTCAGTATATAAAATGAAAAGCGGCTGCCTTAAAAACACCAATAAATAACATGAAATAAAATAAGGAAGCGCTAAAAGTTAACAAAGTACTTATGATGCTAAAAATTCCTGCTACATAAAGTATATTACATGAACATATAAAAAGTGAACATGAAGTCCATGTAATTGAAGAAATCTTGATCCAAGGCCAAACAAGTGCAAAACACACCACCCAGTGCCACCACCTTTTGAAACGCAGCTCCCAATATATTTTCAATCCATGAAACTAGGATGGTCAAAAAGTGCTCAGGATTATCCAAAAGAAGATCCAAAGTATTTAACTTTGCCCATATAATTATTATGGAAGCTCATTTTATGTCTCTCCTCAGTAGCAAACATCCACTGCATATACCTAGAAAGATGAGAAAAAAGCTTCTACTAGGGCAGTACTGCCAGCAGACATACAACATATTCCCTCTTAGGAACCAATTTAAGGAACAGCCCAGTGTTATCGGCCACATGACATTAGAAAAACGCATAAAATAAGGTATTTTGATGGAGCAAAATGTTTAAATGTAGCCTTTCTTCTACTTTAAGTACAGATAACTGAATTTTAAAGGTACATCTTAAAGGAGAAGTATTGGGAGGGTAAAATGTACTCTTCCCAATACTTAGAGACAGCGTGTGACACTGCAGATGTGATATGCCGGCTCTATAGAGTGAGAGCTGAGTGATCATGAACCTCAGCTGATGGTCTTCTCCCTGCAGAGAGCGGTGACTGTCAGTCACCACATGCTGCAGGGATTCCCCCCTCCTTATCTGTTGCCCCAACGCTCATTGGAGGGACGGGTAGGGGAGGGGACAGGCACAGCTGCCTCTGGCTCTATAGAGGCAGAGACAGCTGTCAATCAGGCAGCGGGGTGGATCCCCAACAACATTGTCAGGATCTTTCTCGACTGCAGAGTGGCTCTGTGCTGTCAGCATATAGCGGGCAGTAGCCAACTATATACTGACTTTGTGTCACAGGAGGACATTAATAAACTCATGTGTCCTGAAAATAAGTAAAGCCAAAAGGTTTAGCTTTAGTTGTCTTCCGTATGTAGGCTGCCATTTCTGGCCTTATTAAATTAATGGTTGCCTTGTTGTCCCGGGACACAGTACTAAAAATATAACTCCATGCAAAACCTTTTTCTTTAGTTTGGATACATATACCTGGTAAGGGTTAGAACCATTATCAGGTTTTTAATGCTGGAGTTGGTAAATTTGTACTAATTCCAAGAAATTCCCATAAGATCTATGGAGATCTAGCCAACTCCACCTTCCTCAACGATGGAATTGATACAAAATAACGTATCATATAAAATAAAGTTGATGATGCATGTAAATACTCAACGTTGATGAAAACCATGGTGATGATCAACCAAAAATCCTTTTTCATTATATTTTAAACTGCCATTTTGACTTAAAAAACTTTGGCCATTTCTAAAGTCATCCAAAAAAAAGATAAAAATTAAACTCAGAAATAGCATTACCAGTGTACAGATCCAGAATCATAATCTCACTTACATATACATGAGAGTGATTGTTCACACACATTATCCCAGTGTCAGTGCACTCGATTATTCCCAAGCTTGTTTTGGCACATACAAGATAGCCTTGAGGAGTACAGCCCCACCCAACCTTACCGTTTTATTGCTGTCTCTATTTGTCCTGGTTAGGGTTGGGCTCGATGTTCGAGCCGAACATACGAACTATCAGGGCGTTCGGCGGGCTGTTCGGCCATCGAGCGCCCCATAAGGCATTGTGCCTTCTGAAGCCTTAATTGGCTAAAGCCTTGCAGCTGACCACAGGTCAGCTGCAAGACTTTGCCCAATCAGGGCACAGAGAACTGTTAGAGTCATGATTGGGCAAAGTCATGATGACTCTGCCCAATCATGGCTCACTTGTTACAACTGTAAACAGTTGGGTGGAGCTAGCTGTCACTGCTAGCTTCACCCAATTGTTTATAAGTTGCCGACATCTGTCAAAATGCCATTCTGCGGCGGGTGTTCGTCGCAGTGGACGGGATGGCAGTCGTCATTTTTTAAAATTATTATTATTTCAATTTTTTTTTTATTGTTTTATTTTTTATTTCGTCGAGTCGTCGCCGTGCACAGCGCTGGACGTCGTTATTGACCATGGATTACATCGAAAGATCAATTTTGTGGGTTTTTTTTTTAATATAGGACTTGTCAAAAATCCTTTGTTGTGTTTTTTTTTTCCAAACAAAGGATTTTTAATAAAATTCTGGATTTTTTATTTACATTTATTTTAACACTTTAGTTAATGGCCTGTGTTTAGATCAAGGGTCTGGTATGGAATTTTAGGGGGGACACCACGTTTCCCCCCCCCCTATTTTTGGGGGTGGGGTTCCGCCTTAAAATTCCTACCAGACCTTAAGGACCTAGTATGAACCTAGTATTGGTTGGAGTTACTTGGAGATACTTGAAGTTACTGGAGATAGTTGAAGCAAGTATCCAAATCAAAGTAGTAGAAAAGTCATAATACCTTGCTTGCTCTAGGTCGGTGGCTCCAAAAGTACGGGACGGGAGCGTAAAGAAATAATAAACTTTCAAGTAATAATAAATAATTCAAAAAGGAAATAAACTCTGAAGTAATAGTAAACACTCAATTTTGATCTTGATCGAACAAATATACATTGCACAGCATAATATTTATTTAAATATTTGTCTAAGCACTTACAGTCATGTTTCAGATCAGCTGGCTCCAACTCCAGCTCAGCTTCCCTGAACTTCCTGTCCAGTAAAAGATTACAAGAGACAGTCTAGTCTTCAGCATATATTCATCTACTAACTTAAAGTAGGGAAGAAGGAGAAGGAAGGAGGATCGGGAAGCAGGGCATTGGCTTACCTTGCTATGCAAGTGTGTTTGTGGAGACACACACAGCTTACTAACACACACAAGGGTGGTTCCATAGGACCCTGCAAGGGAGAGGAGACACGCTAAAACAGGATATCAGGCCCAGTGATCAGGTGACCAGCTGATTCTGCAGAAAACTAAAGCTTTTAGCAGCATCCATTGCAAATGATTTAGGCCTCATTCACACTGCCGTACAATACGCTGTGTATAGATGCACGCAGCGTATTTTCCCTTATGCAGCATATGCAAATAAATGGCTCCATACACAAAGCTGTGTATGGAGCCGTATATTTGCGCTGCGTAAAGATGCCGAAAAAAATGGACCCGGGCTCGGAATTTCTGCGTACGCGCGTACAGTACATTAAAATTTCTATTAAAAATTATGCATTCTGGGATTGCATACAGTGCACACGCTTGTATACGCTTGTACATACGCACATATATGCACGGACATACTCGCATATACGCGTATATATACGCAATATACAATTTTGCTCTTACGCTGTGTGTGCATGAGTCCTTAATCAGCATTTGAAAAAGCTTAAAAACCTTTTGACTTGAAGATCACCTTCGACTAATAGGCTAATGTAGTGTATGTCTAGTCTAAAAGGTAAGGTTCTATAACTGCTCTGAAAGTATCATCTTTGGTACACTACATGCACAAAGTCTATAAAGAGGATACAATATCTGATGCAGCACTGGGGCTGGATTTCTTTTCTAGTAAATGCAGAACCTTTAATTTAGAAGCACCAGGGCTTATGCACAATAGCTTCAGAATAAAACTGTGGTAGAAAAATTTATTTTGTTTCTGGATTGTTGGATTTGAATGCTGTTAATCTCACATATTTGGAAGGTGTGTTTTTTACATCGGGAGAAATGTGGAGGACAACAAGAAGATTCACAATCACCAGCATGAAGAACCTTGGAATGGGCAAGAGGACAATTGAGGACAAGATAGTAGAGGAGCTCCAGTTTCTAAATGACAAAATTCAGTCTTTCAATGGTAAGTGCAGTATCCTAAGCAAATTGACATAATGAAGCCAGGCAGTCACCACAAACAAGGGACCTCACCATCCTTGAAACACTTCCATCAGTGGTTCCTAATGAATCATGTCCTCAATCCAAAACGTTATAAAGGTTCACCATTATCCAAAAGGTACTTCAGATGAGCAGGAGAAAGGAGAACAACAAATGGATAATGAGCCATGAGAGAGATCCATTTCAGTAGTGGTTAATTTCAAAAAATATAGGGATGTAAAAGTAAAGAAATATATTGTACGTCTAATCACATGTGTGATACCCATCCCAGCAAAGTAGGAAGACACTTTTTGTTAAAATTGTTTTGCTGAGAACTGTTGTGCCTGAAATCAATGAACAAAACATTTCTGGGCGACATGGCAGAAGATAGAAGAATACATTTGGATGCATCTGATGTTGAGTATACCTTCTAGGTAATTAAAACATATTTTAATTATTTAGGTAAACACTTCAAACTGAGAGAATTTGTCTGTGCACCAACAAATATTACATTTGCTATGATATTTGGTAACCGGTTTGACTACAAGGATCCAACCTATATGCGTATCCTGGATCTAATTGATGATATTGTTGTTCTGCTTGGCTCACCCTACTTACAGGTTAGTACCTTTGTCTGAACTACCAAGAAACCAAGTTAGGCTGTGTTCTTTTAAATTATGAATGTTATTTAAGTGATTACATTTTTCTTCAAAAGGCATGGAAAACTGTATTTTGTTAGTTATGCGTTTCTCATGTGCATGTCCCTGCAAAGGGTAATATATAGTATTTTCCCTATATATAATTTATGTTTTACAGTCAGGAGTAAATCAAATATTATGAGCAAAATCTCAGATTATACGAACATCTATCTTATTCTATTGGAGAAGGTGCCCTTTAAATCTTAATTCTGTGGGAGCATCCAACAACGACAAAGCTAATGCTGGTGATTCACATCAGGGAATGTAGTGAACATATTGTAGTAAATGAGAACCCTTTAGTAATGTAATTTGGAAATAGTTTATAAACATATACAAAATGTGAATCAAAATAACCAAAACCCACTATAGCCCACTGTTCCCCTCTTTCCATTTAACAGAACTTTTTATTTCGTGGAGTCCCCAGATCTGTGTAAAAAATAAGAAATCTAAAATGAACCTAAAACTTTTCCCAATCAGGGCAAAACAACAGGTCTTTTTGGTAGCCTACTTCTTCTCCTGTTGACCCTTACCATCCTCCTTTTGCCAGTTGGAGGCCCAGGTATAAGCCTATGTGTAAGCTCATTGTTGGGTAATTCTCCCAACGTTCATATGACAGTCCTTAGGCCTGGGGATTGGCAGTTTAGGCTCTAAGCACTGCATAATGAGGGGGGGGGGGGTTATGGTTACATGCTTCCCCTTACATGGAGGTAGCTGGCAAATAGGGAGATGAAGTGAGTATCTACAATGGAGGGAGAGGACAATCAGATGAGCCTAATACCTTGCAATATATGGCCTATTTGTTACCAACCATTTATGTATATCTAAATAGGGGAATTGTGTATATACTCTCATCACCTGTCTCCTCTCTTAAACTTCCAAACACCACCCTCTCCATTCAGCGGCGTATTTAACTTTGCTGCTGCCCTAGGCAAGGCAGCAGTAGCAACGCCGCCCTCAGCGAATCTGCCGCTCCAGGCAAACGCAGATACGCCCCTGTCTCCATTGACAGGAACAGATAACTTTTATCTTTAAAGCCTGACTACACCTCTGGCTGTATACTACTACTCACCTTCAATTTGGAGCTGCCCTCATATGTCCATTTTACTACGTGTTACTACAATGCAGGGTAACACAGCAAAGTGCAGTACTTCAAGCCAGCACACCACAAACATGCATGCATTTTAATGCATTCCAATGCACAGATCTGTGCATTGTTGAATTCTGCATTGTAAAAAGCAATGCATGTCCATTAGGATATACAGTATGCATTTCAGTGCAATAGCAGCACATTCATTTTGATTGGGCTGCACTAATTTAAAATACTGAACATTGATGTGCATGCAGTAACACACTGCAATGTTTTGAAATGTTCTGAATGAACCTTTAAAAAAGCACCTTACTCGAAACAAAGTGGGGCAAGACTAGTAGAGCTGACCGGATTATGTAAATATTATCCATCTGTATGGTTCCAATTTACTGGCTGTGTCAGGGCCCTCTTCTTCTGGGACCTGCACAGGTAAGTACTATTTACATTCCCTGATTCTTAATTTGTTTCAGTTAAGAAGTCCAAGATGGGACCAGTTAAATCTACAAATAATCTTCAAAAAAAGAAACATTAATTACTTGTGAAACGTTAAGTGTCCAACTCTTCTTTTTCAGATATTTAACTTGTATCCTGTGCTTGGGACCTTTATGAAGACTCACAAAATAATACTGGATAAGGTTGATAAAATATGTATGGTGCTGAAAGACGATATTAAGGCCAAACGGCAGACAATAGATCACAACTGCTTGCACACATTTATTGAAGCTATCATTGCCAAGCAGGAAGAGGTAATCGTTTCCATTAGTATCATTGATTACAGTTGTATTCATCTTGCACATTTTAGTCACCTTATTCTATTATGGAGATAGGCCAGGCCAGATCTCTCTCTGGCCATGGATTCATACTCTTCCTGGGGGAATTCGAGGCTTTCTGGGCCAAAAAGGAGTCATGATTCTATATACATTTTTGGCTCTCCCCTAGATTTTCCTCCTTTTTAAGCCAAGCCCAGAAATGGTCCAATATTAGTCTTCTAGGAGAATACGTTTATTAAATGTTTATATTGTCTCCTAATATTTGCAATATCTCCTAACTGTGTGAAGTTGTCTTGAATCCACATAAAATAGATTGCTATATGTGAGACAAATAAAATAAAGTGCCCAGTGCTAATCACAACAAAGTCATAAAATGGTGTCCTTTCTAAGAAAAGTGCATTCAGCGATCCAGACAAATACACACAATCTCTGTAGATAAAGTGCTTATAAATTGTATTCCAGATGATCAATCTTACAGTCCGTGTGTGCTGCTAATGGCATAAACCGCACTCACCATATCTGGTGGACTATTAGATAAAAATGGTCTAACAGCACTCAAGTATGGTCAATTTCTGGTGATTTGCTCATCCATCCACTGAAAGGTTCCTGCTACAGGCTTCCACTATTCTCCTCCTCCTTGCACTCCCCCTTCTTTATTAGAGAAGGAATTAATAAGCCTGGGCAGTGGAAACGACACAGCAGGGGATTTATCAAAATTGGAGCAGACACGATCTGGAGAAGTTGTGGATGGCAACCAATCAGCTTCTCTCTTTCATTTTCAAATCTTAACTGAACAAACTGAAGAGAGCAGCTGATTGGTTGCCCTGGGCAACTGCTTCAGATTTGTCTGCTCCAGTTTTGATCAATTCCCCTCACAGTATCATCTTGAAGGATCATAAACATTGTTCACATATTGTTCTTCAGAATGCATCCAGTAATTGTTTTTGTCTCCAAAGGACAGGCAGAGCAGTCTCCAGTGTTGTTGTCATGACTCATGGGAAGGGTTGAGCTGGGTGTCTGCTTACGGCTGCTTCAAATAGCTCTCTGATCAGCTTCACAGGAACTGGGTACAAACTGGTAAAAAGAGTGGGAAGTGGGAGTGGATATATTAGACAGCAAGTGAACATTTTGTCCCTGAAGTTGATGTGTTGGAAGCAGAAAGAATGGGCAAGTGTTGTAAGGATTTGAGCAACTTTGACAAAGGGCCAAATTGTGATGGCGATACAACTGGGTCAGAGCAACTCCAAAACTGCAGCTCTTGTGGAATGCAGTGACCAGGACCTTTAGTTGTTGGTTTGACCTCCAAATTCTCCAGACCTCAATCCAATCAAGCATCTGTAGCATGTGCTGTAAAAATAAGTCCGCACCAGATAAGGCCCCAAAATAAGGCCCCACCACACAACTTACAGGGCTTAAAGGATCTGCTACCAGACCAGATACCACAGCATACCTATAGAGGGCTAGTGGAGTCCATGCCTCGACGGATCAGGGTTGTTTTGGTGGCAAAAGTTGGACCTACTCAATATTAGTCTGGTGATCATAATGTTATGGCTGATTGGTATATATCAGCTCAGCTGGAACTGCAACCCTGGGTCCCATTGCAATCACATGAAACAATGTCATCTATGGCCAAAGTTGCACTAACGTGTTATTTTCTTCTGGGTTTGTGGCACAGGAAAAGACCAATAAGGACACATTGTTCCACGATGATAATGTATTGGCCACTGTACTGGACCTGGTTATGGCTGGCACAGAGACCACCTCTACAACACTGCAGTGGGGAATATTGTTGATGATGAAATATCCTCACATACAAAGTAGGTTGTGTGTCCTCTTTACTACCTGTGCTCAAAGCCTACTAGCAAGGCATGTTTTACTAACTAACAGGCATTGGCCTTATATGAGAAATGTGTAACTTGTGAGCCTGTTACTAGACCTGCAAGGTTTCACTGGGGACTTTGAGAATGGGAGCTCAACACTACTTATTTACACTTTCCATCATTAAAACACTTGTATAACACTAGGTACATAATAAATACACACATTAATGAGGCTCTATAAACATTAATAAATTATTAAATGGATTGTTGAAATGCAAGAAGTGTAAGTACCTGAATTTGACTGTGTATCAGCCTTTTACAGTACCTGTATACCAGAGCTGCAGTGTAAGAGGAAGAAGCAGCACAAGGACCAGTCAAAGGCTTGATCGAGTACAGGATGACCTGGGCTCAGAGGAAATGAGGTGAATGGTGCTGGCCATCACACTGAGGACATCTAGTGGCAGAAAAAGTACTGCGGTGAATCCAGCCACAAGCGTTAGCTTTATGAACACACATGGGCAAAATTCCCATTTTTGCCCAAGAGTTGGAGACATTACATAATCAAAGGATAATGTCCTGTTCCCTGTTGAACTTTCCTTAATGTAGAAAATAAATAGAGAGACTGGCTGAAAAAAGTGACAGTTCTAAAAGAGTGGCAATTCTAATAGAAAAATGCACGATGAAAAAAAAAAGATCATTCAAACTGCCGGAAGGGGGTAAATACCTTAGAGGGAATACAGGAAAAGAACACAATGTAGCACAAGCTTATCTCTCTGTGGATAGAAGAGTAATAACAGGGACTTCAACAACTAAACTATATGTATTTTTTTAGAAAGAGTGCAAAAAGAAATCCACACGGTTCTGGAATCAAGATGTCTTCCAAACTATGAAGACAGGAAAGCCATACCATAAACCTTGGCAGTGATATATGAGATCCAAAGGTTTGCCAATGTTATTCCCCATGTCCCTCATGCCACAGCGAAAGACGTTAAGTTCAAGGGTTATCACATCCCCAAGGTAAGTCAGTTGTAAAGGCGAGTGAGTATTCCCAAACTCAGCAATGATGGTTTCATAAATGACCCTTTAAGTTTATCTCTGGGTGTCCATACTACCCTATTACATATAATAATGAAGATGACAAAAATGCCACTTACTTTTTCAGATGGAGGATTCTGCCTCCAATCCAGCTAGATCCCAGCACACCCCTTGGTCTTACCCCTGTATATCACCTTAACACACTCCTCACTTTCCAGTACCCATGCCAGCAGTGGCCCCTCCAGTAAAGCTATCCTTGCTTTATCGTTTAAAGTCCTGTAAGGTATAAAAAGAAGAGCAGAGGAGAATTTTTGCTCATAAGTCTTAACCTCTTTGTGACCATTCACCAGTGCATATGTGTTAATCTCTCAGCATCCACTTCCTAAAGGTGTCCATACACGGTACGATTATCGTACGAAAATCGTGGGAAATCCTGCGATCGTACGATAATCGCGAAGTGTATGGAAGACGTGCAACCGTTTAGGCCCCATTCACATTGAGCGATTTATCGCGCGATTTTTGCAGCGATATCGCTCATATTTCCGCGCTATATCGCTCTATGTAGCTTCACCAATACATTTCAATGTAGCTGTTCACATCTTGTCGCTCAATATCGCTCAATATCGCTTGTAGCTCGTCGCTGGTAGCTTGTCGCTCCTACATGACCCTTTTTGAGGCCCCGTTCACATTGAGCGATTTATCGCGCGATTTTTGCAGCGATATCGCTCATATTTCCGCGCTATATCGCTCTATGTAGCTTCACCAATACATTTCAATGTAGCTGTTCACATCTCGTCGCTCAATGTCGCTCAATATCGCTCAATATCGCTTGTAGCTCGTCGCTGGTAGCTTGTCGCTCCTACATGACCCTTTTTTTGAGCGATTTTGAGCGATATTGCTCCTGATTGCATACAGCCCAATAGGAAGAAGTCGCGCGACACGTCGCTCAATGTTGCTCGTCGCTCAATGTCGCTCAAAGTCCCGCGATTTCCATGTCGCTCAGTGTGAATGGGGTCTTAAACTGTACGATCGCACGTTTTCCGTCGAACAAGCAGGCTGGAAAACCCGACGAGAATCGTACGATTCTTGGCGGGTTAGTGGCGTGCTTGTTCGACAACTGCCGAATGGGCCGGTGTGCGCACGCGCACACTGCCCGTTCAGCATTGCTGTCATCGGAAGCCTGCCCCTCAGTGGGGCGGGCTTGCGATGATCGCAAGTATGATCTGCCTGTCCAAGATGGGCAGATCGTACATTTTTTTAATTACTTCACAACCATCGCAAGACAAAAGTCTTGTGAGGGTTGTACAGTGTATGGCCACCTTAACACATGTACCCCCAGCTCATGTGTGTTAACCCTTCAACACTAGCTTAAGTGTGTTCACTGCTCAACGCCTATCCCCCGCGTCACATGTAATCAAACCCCTCAGAACCCAGTTCCAAGTACATGTACATATACATGAACCCCTTAGGGTCCACTTTCCAGCACATTAGAGTTAACCCTTCAGCACCCAGTCTCCAGCACATGTATTCAATGTACAGTTGACTTGACTCTTATGCAGAATAATTAAATATCTTACAAAAAAACATTCCACATTATCAAAACTAAAATTAACAACCTCTACAAATAGTAATTAAAGGCATACATTTTCAAGTACATATAATGATTGGTGTACTTGGGCTTAAATCGATTTGACCATATGCAGCTATTCAGCCAGTGAAGGATCTGACTGGTGACATGATAGGGGTGTGATACGGTGTAACTTTCCGACGTTAATTTACCCTGGAGAGATAACTCAGTAAGATAATTACTATTCAACTGTATTCAGATATGTTTTGGAACGTATCTATACATATGGAAGGGTGGAAGTCATAGGCGAGGCTGAACAACCATTCTTATAGGATACTGGATAGTGAGCTAGCTAGCAAATTAGCTACCTGCATAGGATGAATGCCCATGTGTTTACGATCAGTTGCAGACGCTCAGTCTGTACAAATCTATTACCGGCTTACAGGTTTCACAGCTGTTTAAATGTATTCACACATGGAGTGATTGCCTGTGGATAGGAACAGATGGCCCCCGGATGCAAACTGACTGCGTACAGGCCCTCTTATCTGTCCCTAATCATGTGTAATCACTGCGATTTTATGCAGGCAGCCATGGTCAATGTAAGCCTATCATTGATTTGTATAGACTTACTTTCCACAGCTGACTGCAAACTCCTTGGCATACCTGCGCTAGAAATATGCTGATCTGGGAGGTGTACTGCCCTAACCGGCCCTGTGAATGAGGCAGTCATTCAGCAGGTAGACTTTGTTCCAATGGTTTGAATGTGACCTATTCATGTTTTACTAAGTTGAAGCACAATCTAAGTCTCCTAATCAGCCCCAGTTTTACCATATTTCGACAGACCATGGCCATATTATGCCTTGACCCTCTGACTATATTTGGAAGGAATGCAGTATAGGTCAGTAAATGTAATGTGTGCAGGCAACAGTTTTAGGGTCAGTTACATGCAGCAGAGGACATTGCTCTCTTTAGTTCTAATTACTGCTATAACTCTGTTCATATTCCAATAGCCATGGGAACAACACAGTACAGATGCCTGAGGTCCGATCACCTCTGTACTTACTGTAGACTATACCAACTGCAGTCGTTAAAACTTAGTTCATAAATGTCCCTTCACCCATTTAACTTTCATATGGGATTGCAGTGGTAATCTAAATAGCATGAATATAATATTTGTTTATCAGCTGCTTTGGCAGGCATACTGTACAGAGGGCAACTGGAACCATTCCTGGTTTATAACTGTAGGCCCTTTAAATGTTTGTGAAATCCAGGTCAGGTTAGTAAATCAACTGTAAATTGTTTATCGCTATATTGCGTGATTTAATGAAAGGATTAAGAACTAACATACGTCCACCTGCCCTCAATGTGGCAGTTATTTGAGGTTGCCTGAACTTTCATATTGCAATTGTTATTGCTGAGAATTTCCCTCTTGTGCCTTAGCCAGTACTTCCCTCTTCTTAGTGAGAGTCAATTACCATAGAACTGCTTCTGTCCATCTGGTGAGTCAGGTAATTAACAGCGACCAGTCCCAGAGCTCTGGATGACAGGTAGATGGCTGCTCTCCAGTTGTTCTTGAGGTGATGTCTGCCTAATTATAATTACCCTTAGGTACAGATACGCAGGTTTGCTAGTTTTATTATATGGACCATATCTGTGTTTAATGCAAGTGCTTCATTTTCTCCATTTGTTCACTAGGGCACCATTGTAATCCCGCTGCTTTCATCCATTTTGTATGACCAGCGCCACTGGGAGAAACCATACCAGTTTGACCCCAATCATTTCCTGGATTCAGAGGGGAAGTTTGTGAAAAAAGAGGCTTTTGTGCCATTCTCCATAGGTAATTTTTATATTCTGATGCAATATATATGGGCATTTTTCTTCCTACCAAAGATTTGAAATGTTTTCCCAATTCCTTTCCCTTGTGCCTCCAACTATCCTTTTAAGCCACATGCACTTTCCACTACAGATATTACAGATAACACTACCGATGTACAGATATCTATGAGAAAGTTCTATTTATCTATCAGAAGTGCTATTCTGTACTAAAACCTTCAGCCTATCTCATAATTATCTTGTTTGCTATTTCAAAAGGAAAAGTAATAGTGAAAAAAACCCCCAAAAAAACAAATTCTGGGTTAAACCAATCTTTTATGGCATATCAATTCTTAATGGGCCACATAACTGGAGGTGTGGCAGAGGTGTGTCCATTGCCTAAATACATTGTGCTAGAAGGTGTCCTTCTTTCTCATCTCAGAAAGTTGGGCCATAGCAAGGGCAAGACGACTGATGCACTTGCCTTGGGCGCAGGGGCGCAGCCAGGGCTCAATGGGGCAGGGAGAAGAGGATCCAGAAGAGACATGGAGCGCTGAAGCCTGCGGGGGGGGGGCGTAGCAGAGGAGGGAGCTGTCATCCAGGATGGCCGAACGGTAGGGAGAGAGAGACAGCCAGGATCTGACAGCCGGCAACTTTCTCTCTCCTCATCGCCCGGCTATCCTGTAGTGACAGTGCTCCATCCTCTGTGTTGGGGATTTGTTGCATCATGTGTTCAAGGCAGATGGACTATACTAACTATATAATCATAGAAATTGTAGTTGTGAGTCAACTCGGTTGCAATTGATGCTTATTTGCTTAGCCAAACCTGGCTACAAATACACAAAAAGATCAGATTATAAAGTAGCCAAGTCTAGCTAGATATTTTTGCATTGTGTTGCAAAATAGTAAAACTATCTAAATAATCAATTTGATCTTTTCACAGGACGCAGAGTATGCGTAGGAGAGAGCTTGGCAAAAATGGAGCTGTTTATATTCTTCACAGGATTACTTCAAAAATTCACATTCTCGGCTCCTCCATCTATAATGAAATATAACTTGGACCTTGATGCGGATCCATGTTTCACTTTGAGGCCTCAGCCTCACCTGGAGTGCTGTGCTGAGTTGAATGTGCCACTCGTCAGTACACAAACCACCCAGCCTTCCCTATAAAAATAGAGTTTGCTGTAGATTTTGCTGTCCAGTCTGTGTTCTTGGGGAAATGCGCTGTGTTGTCTGGATCAGACATGGACAATTGAATTCCTATGCACTCCCCTAATGTTTACATAAACAATCAAATCCATATAAATCCTTCCTACTGTATCTGAGATTTAACTAAGATATTTTTTTATATGAGTAAAATTCATACCTTACATGTTTTTCTACCAGCAAAACACATGTGCTGCAAATTATATCTATTAACATGATGAAAAGTGTGTGAATGAAAAAATAAAGATGACTAAATTGGTCTAAGATTGGGCTGCATTGTGGATGTTGGGTTTTCGCTGTTAACTTTGCACAAACCTTCCTAAAAAAAGGGAGATTGGGAAGAGAGGAAGCCCCAGGGTCCCTGAAAGTTTGTCATTTGATATCAGGGTAGGCTGTAGAGGCAATGGAGACTGAAGAGGGCCCTTGGGTCCTTGAAAGTTTCTGCCAGTTGATATCAGGATGGGGTAAGGTAACAGTGGAGACTGAAGAGAGCCCCTGGGTCCCTGAAAGTTTCTGCCAGTAGAGATAAGGATTTTTTTATTTTCTGTTTTATTTCATACAGTAAGGCCCGGTTCACACCTGAGCGTTTTACCGCGCGTTCCTACGTACGGTAAAACGCGCAACAGGTGAAAACCCATGTTTGCCTATGGGCATGGTTCTCACCTGTGCGTTTTACCGCGCGAAAACGCCATACGCCCAAAGAAGTAAATGAGCTTCTTTGGGGCGTATTAAAAAGCGTATCCCGCTGTATCCATCAGGATACAGCTGGATACCCGCTAGGAAACTCGCGTTTGCTGCGCGTTTCTTTTACCGCACATCGTGGTAAAACCGCGTGGTAAGAAACGCGTGGCAAACGCGAGTTTCCAATACGCTAAGGTGTGAACCCAGCCTAAGACTTGAGAGAGCTTGTCTGCATTTAAAGGAGAACTATGAGGTGAGTGAAAATCACTCACCTCATATTTCTAGCCGACTTGTGACAATGAAACTGTCACTCGTCGGCTCAATAGATCGGGAAGTGAGCGAACACATACCGTCGCATACACATATACTTCTCGATCCTGTCCCTGCAGGGAGCCGTGACTGTCACTCATGGCTCCCTGCAGGTATTGCCCCCCCTCCGATCCCCCAGCGCTGACTGGCGGAACGAACGGGGGAGGGGGCCGGTACAGCTGGCTCTGCCTCTAGATAGGCAGAGCCAGCTGTCAATCACGCAGCTGGGTGGATCTCGACAGTAATGTTGGGATCCGTCCGGGCTGTGGCAGTCTCAGCATCACTTCCTGTGAGTCTTTTGGAGAGTGTCACTTCCTGTGAGCCTTTTGGAGAGCGTACTTCCGCGGACAGTCCTTGGCGCGCGCATGCGCACAGGCCCATTACAAGAACCCCGGCTTGGCGCATGCGCAGAAGCAGCAGGTCTCTGACGATGCCAAGCGAATAAGTTCCCCCCTTAGAACTGTCTTATGAGCTAATGTAAGGTGGGAATCGTTTATTCTCCAATTAAAGTTTGGGGGAATAGGAGAGAAAGATGCACATTTTATCAATACCGGAAAGTGATCTGACCAGGAAGTTGAAAGAATATTAGCTTTCTTAATTAAGTATTCCTTGTCCCTTTTATATTTTCGTGCTGAAATACTGATCCATGCGATGAGAACGGGACGGATGTAGGATTACCAATTGTCATCTCTTTCTGCATATAAACATCTTGGTCTGGAGAGTGCGCATCCCAGAGGGGACTTTGACGTGGACACTTCGGTGTGGGACTTGGTATATTCACTGGAAATTCTCAATCATTTTTGACCCACAAATTAATTATTTTTTTGGATTCATGTTTAATCATGGATTTTTGAACCCACTTTGAATCACCTTTGGACTCACTTTGTTATATATCACTTTGATTGATATATTTGAGATTGTTTTACAGTATATGAGTTTTTCTACATGAGGTTTTTTATATGTTTTTTTCATATATCTGATGCACTACGGTTTTAATTCAGCAATTTAATTGATTAATTTAATTTTATGCACATTGGCACTAGTTGATATCTATGTTCACGAGTTTTTGATGTTTATTCCCGACGGAGGGTGCCGCCCTAGGCAAACGCCTAGTTTGCCTCGCGGTAAATACGCCCTTGAGTATACCACGAGCTGTAGCTCGCTATATACTGAGCTTTGGGTCACGGGAGGACACTAGTTTTTGTTCTCCCGTGACCCTTAGGAGAACTATGGGAAAAAACACTTACCCCATAGTTCTCCTTTAATGATTTAATGGACACTTTGTTTCAATTATGTGTTTAACACACTGACACTGGACTTTTGCTATTTTATTAGTCACTTTTGAGACTTTTTTCAAAGATAATTACCTTTGACTTACACAAACAGTTGATTAGAAGATTGAATTTGAATATTTTTTGTTTACTGCGTTGGGTGACAGCGCCACTTCACATATTTGAACGATATTAATGCCGGCTCATGCAGCTAATTGAAGTAAGCAGCTGTAAGGAGGAACGCCCAGTTTTTTAAGAGTAATCGAGCGCAGAAGTCTCTATAGAAGATATCAGGGTAGGCTCTAGAGGCAATGGAGATTGAAGAGAGCCCTTGGGTCACTGAAAGTTTCTGCCAGTTGATATCAGGGTGGGCTAAGGTAACAATGGAGATTAAAGAGAGGAAACTTGTGTCCCTGAAAGTGTCTGTCAACTGATATTAGGGTTGTAAAGGTGAAAGTCTGAGGTGACAGTGCAGACTGAAGAGTCGCAGCCCCCAGATGCTTGAGAGTTTCTCAGCTAATGTGATGGTAAGTGGAGGTGACAGTGGAGACTGAAAAGTGAGAGCCCCAAGGTCCCTAAAAGTTTCTAAAGACCCCTAGCATGTCCCTGTGCCAAACCCTGCAAGCTAAACTTTTGTTCATATAGTGCATTTCCATGATCACATAATCAATGTGCATATACAGTGCAAAGGAGCACAGTACTATGAAATATTTGCTCTGTATCTTTCAGTAGTTCCAATTGACTAATAGTCTGAATTAATTAAGTCACTGATCTATTAGGCTTTCGACAAGCGTATAACAATGTTCACACGGCAATTTGCCCCTAGATAGAGTTGAGGAGTATAATTTCTACGCTCCTTGACTCTATCTAGTGGCAGTAATGACTTGTGAGTGGCATTTGCCCAGCTGTATGCTGGGTAAACGTTTTTTAAATTAGCCTCTTTGCAATTTTTGCCAAATGGATTTCTTCTTAAACACAGAGTTAATGCTTTACATATATGGGCCAAAGCAAATGTTATTTGAAACATGACAACATTTAGTACTCATAAATGTGATTACCGTACACAATTTATTAATAATGTGCAGATGGCTACAGGACCATGACACAGTGGTGCACAAAGGGAAGGTAGGAAGGTAGAAGAAGTCCAGCCACTGTGGTACATTATCAATCCCATGTTTTTTAAAGCTTTACAAAAAAAGAATGTAACCCACATTACTAAAGACATTTACTAATCTAAATGGGAAAAATACTTCCCTGAGGGCCTATTCACATCATGCACTATGCTGTAATGTGCAGTAAACGGCACACATTACCATGCGTTGGTGCACTTCAGGTGCCATAGAATGACAACGCAGGGTTGTCCTGTGCCACGTCCTGCAAAATAGGCAGCCTACACATGTTATGGTGTGTTGCAGACCATACATTGTAAATAGGCTGTCTAATGCAGTGTGCCACAATGCGCCTCAATGCACAAAAAGACAGTGTAGCATGCATGGGAACTAAATCTGTGGTCTTGAGTCTTCTCTTTTCTGCACTGCAGAGCGGAAGGTTCCTTCTTTGGGTACCCACGTCACTGCCTGGTGACATAGACACTTCCCATTGGGTCCATCAGCCATGTCCTCAAAACTTCAACAGTGGTGCATTGATGCCACAACGAGGCGCAACAGCAAGACCAGTGGCAGCAGCCACGGACTGTAGAGGTAAATCACCGGTCTTTACCCTTAGATGAGGAAGTGTGGAGTGTCATCTGATGGCAGACTTACGTAAGTGAAAAGTGGCTAGAAAAGGTTTTTTTTATACGAATGTGTGTGGGAGATGGGGGAGGGGGGTTTCCAATTTTGACTGGAAATTAGCTTTACTGTAAATAAACCACACCATTCCAAATTAGTTATTAAAGAGCTAGCATTGTACAAAGATAAAACATGTAAGACATGAAACAACATAACGAGCAATACCATAGGATATGTAAGCTAAAAATGGGGCCCGCGTCAAACACTGTATAAATATGGAACTGCCATTACTAATATCCTCCTGAAATGCTAGTTAGTTGGCTGGAATGTTGTTCTCTAGTTTCAATAATTTCACAAAATTCTCTAAAAAGGTATACAGGTTAGGGTGTCTGACTCCACCTGTTGTACACTTGTTCTGGGTCAGTGACTCAGAAAAATAAAGCCAGAGGGTCAACATGAGAGCCAGGCAATAAGCATGTCAGAAGTGTTGGCTCAAATGTTTCTCTCTTGATAAGTTTCTTTTAAAGAGGAAGGGGGAAATCAATATTTAAGGGAAATAATCATGGGCCAGTAGTGAACTGCAGGAGGAGCCAAGCTATGTCCAGCAGCGATGGAAGCATCCAACCCTTTGGGGATTCCATGATGGTTGCTTACCAGGGAAACCGACCTGATATAAAGAGACCCAAAGAGATGCAGCCTGAGGCTTCCTGTATATAACTGACCTTCTGACCTTGAGAGAGCTCAAGGTCAGTTCCCACATTCATTGCCACGCAGCTAGATATTGTAGCTCAGTGTGGTTTTAAAAACAAAACATTGATCAGGCCCAAGGATACTTTTGACACACATAATTATAACTGCAATTGCACCTGTAGATCCTTATATCAGGTTTTCCTGGAATGAGGTAAAGTTTACTGCGGTTGGTCATTGCCATTTAGCATGCCTCCAACTCCTAACAAAGTATCACAATTTACTA